GCTGCTGCAAGCTTAACTGAACACAACGGATTTCTAGGTAATATATTGATTATACTTCAACTGTTTTGACTACACAGAATCCTTCCCAGCAGGCAGTATCGGAGGATCGGAACAGACACTTGAAGGGTTTTATTCAGTATATTAGTGAATCCCATTATAGATAAAAATCAAAGTTATACAGTAGGATGCACTTGCATATTACATATCCATCTAACAGATCCACACACTGCCTCCAATATCAGAACTGTTGCCCTAATTTTGCAAAACAGCTCTTCAGCTTTTCTTAAAAAAAACAAAACACCACCAAAAAACACCTCAAAGTAAGCAACATTAAAAAGATATTTTTTTACAAAGCACTCAAAAGCTTCAATGGGAGCAAAGCCAGATACTAATCAGCAACCAAGACATACAAATCGCCACTAAAAAGATCACTTATTCCTTTCTGTTAATGCACAGTCTACCCAAACAGATAATGAAGAAAGTATTGAAAAATTTACCTTACAACACCTAATCCTGGCCAGCTGAGATCTTCAATATACAACAGGCCAACTGTTCTTCTCACTTCTTGCTCAAATTCTTCTCTCAGTTGCAATGTACTTGTCAATACTGGTATCTTCATTTTTAAGCAGTCTACTAACTGATCAACATCTTGTATTTCAGTTCCTAAAACTAAAGATCTGATGTATTAGTGTGTGATACAAGTGAACGGACATACACATAGATGTCTGAATTAAATAAGTAATCTGTAAAGAAGCCATGCTAAGTCGATCATAAATATAACTTACAGAGAGTACTGAAATATCTTGATCTATGTAAGAGTGTTTTTCCTTCAGTTATCTAGCCACTGATACCTCAAAATGGAGAGAGCTAAAGATTTCATAGAAAATAAGCTAATAAAAAGGATTTTCTGATGTTACAAACTAATAAGGACAATACCCTTTTTCATTACATAAGTAGCTAGAATCAGAAAAATTCCTCTTCCCATAGCCAAACAGACAATGAATTAGCTTCCATGCTGTTTTTAAACAACCCACCCCCCCCCACCCCCCCGAAAAAATCATCACAGCATCACCAAATCATTTTACTCTAAAATCTACTTTTCAGTGTACACCAGGATCCTCTCACATCAGTGTCGAGTGTTTTGATAGCCTAAGCTATTCACCACACAAGCTAAAAGGAGATACCATGCATCACCCTGAGCCCCTGCAAGTTGCTCTGTGCATCTGCTGAGTCTACACAAAGTACATATACAGTGCGGGCTTAAACATGAAATTTAAGACACTTTCCAAAACACAGATTTTAATTTTTTTTCCTCCTACACCAGTAATTATAGAAACACCTACAGGTTTAGTAAATAATTCTTCTAGTTAAGTAGTTATATTTTGAACACATGCACCATTTCAGTGTTGAAACACCTGTGCAGAAAGGTCAAGCATCATCTTCTTGTGTTAAGCAGCTGAGAGAAGGAAAGGTAGGGATAATTTATCCTTCATATTTCTTTTATAATTGTCAGAAAGGAAGAGTTTCTCCCCTTGCTTTTCCTAATGAATTTAAAAAAATAATCAAAGTCATTCTCTGCAGAAGTAGTGATGCAATGTCACATACAACAGCTGAGCTACCTCTACCACACCCATTGTCAAGGCACGACAGAATGATAAAGCCAGGATAGTTTTGTTTTGCTTATTAAAAAAATCCTCACCATAGGAGAATATACTTAAGCGTTTCTTGAGTATATCTGCTTCTACACCCGCAGATTGTTCTACAATTCTATAGCAAATCCCAGTTTTTGCAAGTGGCTGAATTAAGTGACTGTTACCTGCAGAAGTCATTAGTGGGCTAAAACGCACACATGTGCCTTCATCTTCCAGTTCTACCACATCAACTCCACTGGCAGGAACCAGCTGTGCCAACTGCTCTCCTAGCTGAAGGGATAAGGGACAGTTAAAGAAATGTACAGAGCACGACCTCCTGCAGTTGCTGAGTCAAGCTAGACTCTTCCCACAGCTAAAGAGAACCACACGCTAAACACAGTTTTCTCTATTTCTCAAAATCACTTCCTGTAATAAAATACTTTAGCTTGCTGGTAATATGACGAAGTTGGACATATAGTTAAAATCATGAAAATTCAGGATAAGCTACAAGCGTTACAAGTCAGAAGTTTCTGCAAAATTGTCATTAAATATGCCATGGTTACTACGCAATTGATCCAAAACAGTTATGTGCTCAGCTCTCTGAAAGCATGAGTTTCTAGAATTAATTCTCTTAAGATCTGGAAAAGAAAGGCTGCCTATTCATGAATACACAGACATTGTCAATGAAGTATCTAGCCGATTAAAGAGTTCTAAAGTTTTCACATATTCCCACAAGACCAAGGAAAAAAACCATGCGCTACCAAAAGCTTAAGATGCAGTAGTAATTTCAGTCATAATTACACATAAATTAATCAGAAACGTGAAAGCAACTTTTCTTCAAAGCAAATTCATCTTTTCAAATCCACAATGCCCCCTAGTTTTGCGAAGGATATCAGATCAAGAATAACTATCAAACTAGTCTACCAAAGGTTTTATAATTACTGATGAAACTCTGGAAGCATGCCATTGTCACTTCTTTTTTCCTCAAGAGAAAAAGTATCCATTCTTACCCACTGATTCAAAGTGTCATAAATGTGTCTTTCGTTGCTTATTATGGGGTGCTGAATAGCTGAGGCCTGTGCAGCATGCAAGGTTTGATCTGAATCCAAAGATATAAGAATCACAGAAGTGGATTTTTATTTACTTAACTAAACAAAAAGGCAACCTAAAATTTAGATAAAAGACAATTACATTTCCCAAGTAATGTAACACATCTACACAATGTACTGGACCTCAAGCAGACTAACAAGGATTTTTTTTTTGTTTTTTTTAAAAATGTATGCTGAACATGACAAATTCTAGAAGTAAAACAGAGCACTGAATATACTAGTTTTAAAAACAACAAATAAAATACTTTTCTCTGATTTGAGGTTCAAATGCCCCAATGCAAATAAAAACAATGTTTTCACAAAGCAAAACCCTGTCACAGCAGGCTGCAATATTTAATTCGAAGCATTCAGCTACTTTTTTTTTTTAATCAAGTTTTACTGATTACTTTCTGTTTTAAACCACACAAAAATAATATGAAGGATTTAAGAGACCATTATACACATAAAACATGCAGAAATGGCCAAACATCTTACATCCTTATAATGAAGGTTGGTGACTTCTCCCTAGTAAAGCTTTTCAAATAAATGCATCAACGTACAAAGCAGTCCACCCAAGTCACTGGACCAGGATGAACAGGTTTACTTTGTAAGTGCAACCACTAATTAAGATTAAAACCAAAACCAAGCCTCCCCCTTGCCCAACACAAAAAAAATCCACAGACAATGAAAATCAACACTCATAACAAAGTTTTCTAGCAGTCTTTTGCCTCAACCCAGCTGGACATTTCCCCACCCTTAGAGTGTGCACACACAAACAGCACAATGTCCTCCATTGCAAATGACAGGAGAAAAATCCTCTTTCTTGGACAGCACATCTAAGTAAGGATGTTCTGCTCAGAGCCACATGTAACATGACTACTGTATACCCATGACAGTATTTCCAGAGCTGTTGCTAATGTGTTCTACTATTTTTAAAACTATTGCAACAGCAAGTGTAATCAGTAAAACAGAGAAACATGGTTCTTGCAACTAGCCACTAGACGTTTAAAAGGAACAGAAAACCTGAACAAAACCGAGGACGATCTTCCCCCATCAGTACACTCAAACACATCTTGCAGCTTATGAGAGACTTCCATCATCTGCTCTCAAGACCAAAATCATATGCAAAACTCTCCTCACTCAAGAAGGCAGAAAATGACTTGTTATGAAAATTTAAAACACTGAAGTCTATCTAAAAAAAGAAGCTATCACATGTATGGATTCCAGCACTAGATTATGACCAGCATTCACAACCTTTCTAAAAGCATGTTACACAAAAGAGAAGTGCACTACATAACATTTACCTCATCAAATTAATTTATGAATTAGTAGTTTAAAAAACTATACAGAGTTTTTCTGGTTTTGTTTTTAAATAAATCACATACCTCTATTTGAATATTCCCGGAAGAACTTGAAAACCACCACTGGTGAACTCAGTTCATCTTCAACCTTAAAAAAAAAAAAATTAGATATATTTTCACATTTTTTTAAAGATTTAACATTGTACATAATTCCTTAGACTGCTGAGCAAAGCAGATAATTTTGTTTTGCCAGCAGTAACAAAGTTCACACTATCTCAGTATTAGAAGTTAACTCTAGGAGTGTGACCAAACGTATCTGTACACACATGAAAGTAAATCATTATTCAGTTAAAGCAGGATTGTATTGATTTAAGGTATGCATAATTAAAATTTGGGCACTATAAAGCAAGAAACCTAAGCAAGTTCATTAGCAAATATACCATACTAAATAGTTTATTTAGCTTTAAGTATTTTCAGACATTAACATTAAAAAAAAATTCTCTTGGAAATCGCCCCAGATTCATTGGAGAACATCAAGA